CAATGCATGTTGATTCTGATCGTATAAGTCAACTCACTCATTCAATGGAAGCCACATACCTGCATGCCATACGTACGGTAGATCTAGATATAGAACATAAATCATTCATCTAAGGTGAAACGGACTTTAAATATAGATCCAACTGTGGTTCCAATAGCAAACAGTACGACCTAATGCATGTTGATTCTAATCATACAAGACAGCTCACTCATTCAGTGGAAGCCACATGCCTGCATGCCATACGCACGGTAGATCTTCTTAGTGTCACTCCCGTCTCCGAGCATCAAGAATGCATCGGCGGGCATACTCTGCTTAGTCAGCCAATCGCCCATGCGCTCAGGCGCAACAAACGATATGAGCACAACCTTTGCTCCAAGATCTGGAATGGAGTAGACCAGGTCTCATGATGTGAGATGCTATTTTATCTTAAGAGTAGATGGGGCGTGGACGTGGATAGGTAAGTAAGCTCCTCGTTCCTGGAGGTGACAGCAACTATTTAATGACTACAATCGAATCCAAAAAACAAATTTTGCTCTCGAATTGCCGGTTAGGTTCTCTGGGTCAAAAGCAACTAGCGCCCAACTGACTACATTTGAGCGCAGCATATTGCGGAGTTGCTGATAGAACTCTGTGACTGAGAACTCGACATTCATGCCATACAGCTACAAGAGAAAATACACAAAGACATTCCAGGAGCACCTATCGGACACCGAAGTGCAACCGACTACACGGTACAGACTAGGTCTGAAGTTGAACGCAAGCATGTATATCTGTACTAGTGCAGATAATAATCATATGCGCAATAAAAACCCAATGCGGAAATGAGAAAACGGATACACAACTCGGCTAGAACAATAGGCCACATATGCTTTCCTATACCTAAATACATATTGCACAGACCGCAGATCGTTCGAGCAAGCCGATTCACTACAGGTCTATATTGGCAAAAATACTCACACATACAAAGTATAGTGAGCATACTCATTTCCCGCGCGTAGTGGACATAATCACAGATTTGCAACTGCATCCTTGTTATGCCGTTAAAAAGTCTTCAGGGGTTGAATG